AAGCCGAGACGAAGAGCTGAGATATATGTGGAAATAAATACACTGAGATAAAAAGTCCATAGTTTAAAACGGGTATTAATATTAAGGTGTTGCTTTAGGGTATTTTTAAAAGGACTTGAAACATGAAAATGTGTTAAAAGTTAAACATAAAAATAACAAATTATTTTAAACTATAAAAATTATGTAAAGATTTTTTGTAAATTTTTAAATTAAATCATAAAGGTTTTCTTACTGAAATAATTTTTAAGATATTCTTTAGAGTGAAATACTGAAGATATTTAGTAAGAAATGTCCAATTTAAATAATATAAGTAGATCATCTCTATACGATTATCCCAGTTTGTTAAATATATTATAAACTCTCTTAAATATTTAAAACTCTCACTTAATTTTCTCACTGCCTTTAGAGTGAGATGGCCTTCTTGGGTGTAGAAAGAGACAACAGGTCGACACATACGAATCGAATGACTTTGGCAGCGCTTTCAAGAATCCATGCAAACATTTTCAATTAAAAAATTGCCCTGCCATTTGTCAGTTTGCTACGCTGCCCTTGTTTCCGGCTTTCCTTCCCCTTTCACTTAGTTCTCCGTTTGCCACTTTCTCTTCTTTTCTTTTTTCCCTCCCATTTTTCCGCCTTTGCCCCTTTCCTCCTTGTGCAATCAATTGCTTATCAATCACAATCACAGTCATGAGACAGCGTCGTCTTCGCCTCGCATTCGCATTCATATCTGTCTTCATGTATGTGCAGCATGTGTGTCTCTCAGTGCTTGTCAAACTGCGGAGCTGGGAAAATGCTTTTCCTTGTGCGGTCAGGGAAAATGAGGAAAAATTAGACAGAACATTTCTAGAAAATAGGAAAGTCGTGGTAATTTAATATAAGAAGATTCCTGAGGCTTGAAAAGGTATAACAAATAGTGAAAATAGGATGGTTTTTATTCGAAAAATTTAAAAAATATATAACAAAACTCCAATTAGGAAATTTAAACTGGATCAATTTAAATTTAGCTAATATTAAATTTTAAGCATTTAAACAATATTTCAAAGAAAGAGAAATAAAGCATCATTAAACAATTCCAAAAAACATTTTATGAAATTTTATGAAGGGTTTGTAAAATGTCAAATCATTTTATTTGGAATTTTTAACAAGTTCTTTAGGCTTTAAAATTCTTTTTATAATTTTAATATGTCTTGTAAATATATTTTTCCTTACCATTAAGAAAAAATGTATTTTTAAACCCACTAAAAATTTATATATTATAAAAACAAACCCTATTTCATTTCCAAAACCATTTCTATTAGCTTATAACTAACATTAATGGAACTCTGAGTACCAGCAAATAATCATTAAGGCCACACACTGTAATTTAACCATCTATTCATATATCATAGCCATCGGAAATTAGCTAGTTAATGCAGGACACACAATTTGGTAACTCAAATTGCTAACCGTCCGCAGGCGATTCTCTCCCCCCCAAAATGAATGTCAAACTAGGATTGGGATTGGCTGACTGCCATAGAAATGAGCAGGTCCTTTATGAGTCCTGCAGGCACTTCGTAGCCATTTGAAAGCCGAACCGCCGTTGCAAATTCAATTGTTCTTGTCGAACGTCTCGCAAATCGGAGGCCCAAGTTTTGTTGACGTTGCTCCTGGTGCTGCTGCTCCTTGTGCTGAAGGAAGCAAATCCCGGAGGCCCCTTGCACATTTGCGACTGGCAGCTAAATGCACCTTGGAGGCCCACTTTTGACCCGGGAAACAGAACTCGGGGGGGTGGGTGGAAATGTTAGGCAAACATAAGGGAAATGCACAGAGAAAATTCAGAGTTTATATTTTGTATAGTTTATAAATAATAAAATAAGTTGAAAGGGTCTTGATTAATGTATAAATATATTAAGTGGTTATTAGAACTATATTTTGATTAATTGCTATTATTTTGTTGTATCGAATATTCTTCTATAATTATTTCCCCAGTGTCTTTGGGTTTTGTTTGCTGTTTGTGGCACAAGGCTGACTTGCTGCTAATGGATTTTAAATGAGCATCATAAATAGCAGCAAGTCGTGCTGGCTGGCACACGCCGAAAAATTGCATTTGCCACGCCTGCCACAGCCATAAAAGGAGTTCTATTTTTTTCGGGGGGATTCCCCTCCTCTTTTGCAAAAAACCACTTGGCTGTTGTCATTTATTCTTGTTCTGTTTGGTGTCTGCTTTGCTCGGTTTTGTGCTCGTTTTGGTTTGTTTTCTTTTGGTGATACCCTGTACTTTTGGCATATAAAAGGATATTAGGTGAGCCTGTTGAATTTCTTTTTATATATTTAATTTAATTTTTAAAAGGTATAAAGATGTATTGTATACGAAAAACAACCTAATATTTATTATTTAAATTAAATAAATGAAAGAAAATAATCTCTTAATATTTTTTTAGACGAAAACTAGGCGTTTTCAACTATATAAATATAAAAGTATATTAATTATATAAATATAAATAGTAACTAATTTTCCCAAGGAGTATTCCTTAGTTTGTCATCAAAATGCATTCCCCTTTTCTTGGCCTGACTGTGTTTTCTATTTGTTTTTGGTTTCTTATTATTATTTCTATTTTTTTTTTTACCAAACAGAAAAGACTATAAATATTTGTTACGCTGACGACGCCGGGGGAGAAAGCCACATATACACATGGCACACATAGTTATAGGAGACATTTATATATATAAACATATATGAGTTGTTCTTGTTGTCTGCTTTCGTGGCTACAAATCCGGCGTGTATAAAAATGACTGCAATTTATGTTTTCCTATGAATATATTTGTGGCAAGCTCAGCTCTACAAAATATATAGAATTTATACATATACATATATATATATATACATTTTTTTCTGCCTTTTATTGCTTGTAGTAGTAGTTTGTTACTTTATTTGATTGCATAAATTTTATGCAGATTCCGTAACATGTCATTTCTAGTGATTTTTATTAAATGCAACGAGGGCGAGTGCGAAAAGCGTTGACAAGTAGATTGCGCATACGCCGCGTTGTCCCCTCTCCTCGAAAAATTTAATATCCGCATTCAATGTGTTATGATGTTATGTGGCTAGAAAAGGGAAAAAGGGGAAAGCGTGGCCAAAAGTTGCCAACTAATATGACAAGTTGATGCCCCTCCGGTCAGTCTGCAGCAGATTTCAGTTGTTGCTGTTGTGGCCCAATAACTAACAATCAAAAGTGGTTATGGGTGTGTGTACAGACACACTTTATGTGTCATGTGCTTTGGCTTTTTCTCGGTCACGTTGATCATGCAACACAAAGTTCCATGAAATTGGCAACATATGTTCTCATACAAAACGCTCTTTGCCAAACTTTAATTACAAAAGAAATGGCCGGAATGAAGGATGAGAATTGGAAAATAAGTTTGTCGGTATTTTATTACTAAATGCTCAGCGGCTTACCTCTGGCCAAGTTTTTGAGGTAAAGAAATTTATTCAGTTTAAATGAAGTGGAAAAAGATTAAGTTGAGAGCTTAGATTTTATTTGTAGTAATTGAAATATGAAGGGAATAAATGTATGTTTTCAAGTCAGATGCTTTTGTAGGTAGTTTTTGTACAATTAAATGAAAGTATTGGTTATATTTATGACATAAAGAATGGTATTTCTAACAAATTATTTAGCTAGCAAAGTTTCAAAGGACTTTGTAAGGTTTTCTTAGTCTTTTAGCAAACAAATGAGTTAAAAATTATATAAAAACCTGCTGTAAATCTCTGTGCTTTATAGCCCTGCAACAGCATGGGTTCATAACCAAATTCACTTGTGCCTGCCTGGTTGGCTTCGCTATTAATAAAAATTCTTTCGCCTCAAGCCGTAAATTGTAGGTTTTTTCCCCTCATTTTGACCCAGACTGACCTACCCCACTTTAACAACATCAGGCCAAAAAACCAGCTAGCCAAAAGTTTACAGAGAAAGAAATATTTCTGACACTTTTTCGGAGATATATACAGAGAGGGGTTTAGTTTTTATTGTATTTGTTTTTTATCTTAAGAGTTTATTTTTATTATCTTAAAGTTTTATTAAAAAAATACTTTCCAAGGGATTGAAATATAATATATAAATATATTTATAATATAAATATGTCTATTAAATTAAGACCTATTTATTATCAAAGATGTGAAATATTTGTTTAATGACTACTAATCTTCAGATTAGTACTATTGATCATGCTTTTAAATAATAGTCTTACTTGTGTTTCTTTTATTTATTTATTGTTATTTACTTGAATATTTACTTTAATATTTTATTTTAATATTTACTTTCAGAGTTTATTATTATTGTCTTAAAATTTTTATTAAAACGGACCTTGACTATGGCTTTGAAATATATTAAACGATGTTCCAAGACATTTACAGGTGAGTTTTAAATTAAGAATTATTTATTATCACAGATGTAAAATGTTTGTTTAGATATTACTAACCTTCACTTATGATTCTAGTAATTTTATTATGTTTTTAAATAATGCAATACTGATACTCTTGTTTCTTTATAATAAGAAACCGAATTCCTTAGACATTTTAAAACAGCATTTACGATTTTTTGACTGTTCTCCTTATTTTTCTGATTTCTTTACACATTTAAAAACATATATAAATGTTTTTAAACTATTCTTCTCCGTATTTCTTGTTCTCTACATATTTTAAATATTTTTCTTGGATTTGATTATGTTTTTATATAATACATATTTAATTCTGTCTCTTGTGTTCCTTTATAACTAGAAATTGACATTAGACATTTAAAATTTTTTTTTAATTTTTTGACTGTTCTCATTATTTTTTCTGATTTCTGTACACATTTAAAAAACTTGTTTACAGTTTTTAAACTATTTTTATCTCTATTTCTGGTTCCTAACATATTTTTAATTACTTTAATAGAGTTTTTTTGGCATATTTTTCCCCACTGTAAAACCCAAAACCATAAACCCGTGCTCATCACTCCCACCCCGGTAAAAAATACTCGAATACTCACAGTTGACATTCAGGGATACGCTGGTCTCCAGTGTGTGACCCTCGGGCATGGCACGATTCCAGACAACGCATTTGTACTTGGCACCATCGTCGGCCCGTCTGGGAACAATCTGTAGGGTGGCATTGGTATAGTGGTTCTTCGATCCGCCCTTCAGCGCATATGACTGCAGTGGCACGGTGCTGCCCTCGCGGTACCAGCTGCAAAAAATACACACATTCAGAAAAAAATACAAAAAAATACAAAAAAAGATGAAGATACATAGAAGTGATAGCCACGATTTAGGGCCAAAAAACTATAGAGGGGAGTACAGGGAACTATGTGCCACAGAAGGATTATTAATGAAGGCGACCGCCTGTTAAGTGATTTACTTTGCCAAGCAAATCGAAAAAGGGAGGAAAGCTCTTTAAAGGGTTGCAAATTTAACTAAATATAACTATAAATAATATAGTATAGTAATAATAACTTACGTTATCATAGGATCTGGAGAGCCACCAATACTGCCGCAGGTCAATTCTAGGGCTTTTCCTCCGTAGCCACTGCCAGATTTCCCGGTGTGACCATCGGTGGATGTGGAGCTGTGAGCACTGTTAGATTGTAGAATTCCTGATGGACATCGGCACCAGTGCCCTTGGCCTTAATGCGGCACTCAAAGCGTCCATTATCTCGATTATATGAGGTATTCTTGATTTGCAGATCGTAAATACCGCGACTCGGTCGAAAGTCCAACCTAAGAATGAACAAAAAATCAAAGAGAAAAAATAAGTAAATACGAACAGGAGGTCTGAATAAACTCTGGAAGCGATTTATTAAGAGGGAAAAACTTTTACTTTATGTAAATTAACTGCGCGCTCTTCTGTTGATTTACAACAGCTCTATATATATATATATAAGTATATATATATACATTTATTTATTTCTATATTTGTTTATCTTTATATAAATGAAACGAAAGTATGTAGGTATGCAGTTAACGTATTATTGTGGAGTTAATGCTCTGCTGGTCACAGAGGGTACTGGAAAAGGTTGTATGATTTGAAGAGAAATATATTTTATTAATATTAAATATTATTAAGAAGTTTTAAATATATTTAGAAATCATTTTTAAACTTCAAATTCCTCTATTTATCATAGAGAAATATTAATTTTCAAACAAAACAATGCATTATAATCCCATAATACGAGTTATCTTTAGATAACTCTCCTCCATTTAATCTCCTAAAAATAAAATCCTTGGTTAATGCCAAAGTTTTCCTTATGCCAAGCAGAGCATCCTGCAGTCATGGTTTCCCTCTAGAGAGATCCTGGAAAATAAATTTCTCCTCACTTGTTTTCGTTAAGTAGCTTCCCCTCATTTTCCGCCACTCAATTCAGCCTGTCTGTGTGTGTGTTGTGTGTTGTTCATTTTCATTTTCGTTCTTCGCCTTCTGTTTTCCGTGTTGGGTTTTTCCCTCGATTTCATTTTTTTTTGTTTTTTGGTTTTGTTTTTTTTTTCGTTTTCACATTTTGTTGTTTTGGGGCTTAAAAGCCCTGTCCCAGCGTCCGGGGGGAGGCCGGCGCGAAATAAAATGAAAAATGCTCATGGCAAATTAAGCGTCGAACTCATTTTTGTAAATTTATTAGCCCAATTCTCATGCCGGACGCTGTAGATGAAGCCGAAGCTGAAGCCTGGGGTCCTGTCTTGGGCATTACATTTTTATTAATTTAACATGGCGGGCGCTACCTTGATGATGGGCCAAAAGGAGGTCGGAATTGGGATTGCCATTGAGACCGTGGGTATGATGTTATTTTTTGGCGGATTGACTTGGCTAAAACCAAATGGAAAAACTCAATCAAGCGTAATAGCTATGAAACTGTTGCATATACTTTTGCAGAGCTTTCTTTCACTCCATTTTCATTTGGTGTTTTTATGCTGAGATGGAAAATAAAATATTTATGTTACCTAAACAATATTCTTTTCCCTCTTATGCAAAGAAAAAGAAAAGTTCTCAAGACTTGAGGTTTTTCTAGGTAATTTTCGCTATTAATCTCTAGATTATAGCAATTTCCCAGACATCAAATGAAACTCACAATATATTCCCTCTATCGTTATCCAGTTTTCCTTCTGCTTGTTTATAAAATACAAGGATAAACCCCTGACTACAATATGCTCGCGGAAAAACTACTCCTTCTGCATCAGCTGCCTGGGTTTGGCTTTTGTATTTAAGTTTTAATTTCTTATGATGAGATTTTCCGCCAACCCAAAGGAGGGGAGTAGCAGAAAGGAGGCGTGGCAGAAATCAAGCACTCGACATTATTAAAGTGGGTCTTATAAACTTCTTCAGCGGCTGCAACGAGATGCAAACTTTGGTCTAAAAAAAAGAGATTAAATAAAAAAAAAAGATTAAATTTTGATAACTCTCCAGGAGAAGTATGTGTGTATGTAGGATAAAAAAAATGGGGAAAAAGGATACTGAAGAAAATGGTTGCATCTGAGATTTCTTTTCGGGATTTTCCTACTCCATTTTTTTTACTCCTTACTTCTCGAGCTGCCTTTGCCATTGCATTTCCGGCAGCGACTTTTACGAGGCAGCCTGTCTTGAAAGGATGCTTAAGAGCGGGTGGAAAATGCAAGGAAAATGAATGGAAATGGTAGGGAGGCAGGGCAAAAGCAAAAAAAAAAGGAGTCGTATATGTGGAGAGGCGGCTCAAGCGAAGCACATAATTGCCTTTGCCAGGAGGCTCAGCTTGGCGATGTCCTTGCAGCCTTGCAGAAAAGAAGAAGGAATTTCTAATGTGTAAGTGCTTTCTCCCAGCCTCCCAGGCTTGTTCTTCTTCGCCATTCGGTTATTATGTTGCATCGTCGCAGGACTTATGCAAAACAGTCGCTGAATTGTTATGCAAATTGTTGCCAATTACATGGCAATGCCTCCTTTTCGCCTCAATGGGTCCAACACACACACACTGAGCGTACTTTATGTGGAAAGTATTGAACAATTACACTGATCTACATGGTTTGGGTAAATTATAAAAAGGAAATAATATAAGGAATTTATGTTTATAGAGATGGGGAGATTATAATTAAAAGAATTAAACCCATTTACTTATTTAATATTTACTTGTTTTTAAGGTAGATAACTTTATTTACAGTTTATTTAAATATTTCAAGACTGTATCAGTTTATTAAACCTATAATCTTAAGACTCCTTGATAAAAGGATATTTATGATACAAAAAAATCCCTAAACCTGCAGCCCAGTGTTGCCTCTTCTAAAGCAAGGAAAATGCGAGGAAAACTCTGGCGGCTGGCCGGCAGTTTACAAACTTGCAAAACTTTTCCCCGCACTATCAATCGAGCGCAAAGACAGCGAGATGGACGATGGGAAATGAGGGGGAAAAACCTGAGGCAAGCCACTTGGCTTGTTAACGGTAACTAAAGCTCACTTTATAGTTGATCATGGGCGGCGCATGACAGGATGAAAATGGGGGGAGTGGATGGGACAGGGGTTTGGGGCTTAAGCGTGGGCTGATTATGTTATTATCGGTTTAGTATCGAAGTCTTATGGCTCGTTTTCCTCGTTACCCGGTCTCATGTCTCATGTAATTCAATTTGCCAGGACATCCTTCGTCGCCTTTTTCTTCGCTCTTCAAGTCTCTTCTCCTGCCCCTTCCTTTCCGTTTTTCTTCAGTTTCGCATGCCAAGGAGTCGTCTTGTGAAAGTAATAAACTTTTTCTTTTTTTACCCCCCGTTTTCTCTCAATGAAAAACTTGAGACACTTGTGAAAAAATATTGAGAGCTTGAAATATAAATTGTTGAGAAATATTTGAGGTAAATGAGTGGTATTTTTTCAGATTTGAAACTGTTTGGAGCATTTAAAACTAGGTTTGGAATATTTTAAACTATGAACAAATTTAGTTTTTGAATTCTAAATGCACAGAATCAAGTTTAAAAATTTATTTGTTGGTTAAAATCTTGAAAATGATTTAATTTTAATAATATTTGGGATATAGAAAAAGGTTTAGAAAGGTATTTTTCTTAGTTTATCTTTTATTATAAAGTATTATTCAGTTTAGTTCCTTAAATATGTATTTTGAAAATGATTTAAACTTTTAAACTGTGCTATAAACTTTAGTTTTTGAATTCTAAATGCACAGAATCAAGTTTAAAAATTTATTTGTTGGTTAAAATCTTGAAAATGATTTCATTTCAACTTTAGAAAGTCATCTTCAAAAAATCTTCATTAAACATTTTTAGTAAATGCAAAATTTTTCCCAGTGCCAACAGAAGAGGAAGCTGAAAAGGAAGCTACTGAGAAGGGGAGCAAAAAAAATGTAAACGCGCCAAAATTGACGCGTGGCAAGGACGATGGGTTACCGCCACCCCCGACCCACTTTCACCCCCCATCCCCCTTGCTGGCCCCCGTCAACGATGTGCGTTATGTGCGGATAATTGACTTTTAAAATGTGTGTGCGATATCACAACAACAGCAACAGAAACAAAAGGACGACGAAGACGATGGGTGAGGAGGGGAGGAGAAAGGAAGAAGGGTCGCAACGTATAATTAAACGGCATATTCTCACGCATCCCTGAAACTCAAAGAGAGGGCGCCAAGTGAGAGGGAAAGTGTGGGTGAGAAAGTGCGGGAGAAAGTGATAGGGGAGCACCAAGGACCTTTGTTGTGACCATTAAATATTGTTCGGTGCTTACTGTTTCGCCTTTCTTCCCTCTTCCCTTTGGACTCCCACTGCCTTTCGCTTGTCTCCCGCGCGAAAAATAAACAAGGATAATCAGCGATATTATTAGTTTCCTTACTCTACTCCTTAGTAGAACCAAAGTCAGTGAAGTAAAGGACAGTGAAATAAATCCAATGACAACAAAGGGAAATGATCACAAAATCAGGAAAATTAGTTTCTTTTTGGCGAAAAGAGCTTAAGAAGTTTATGGGAAATATCTAAGCTCAGAAATTAATATAAAACTAGTTGGAAGAAAAGAAGTTTCATATATAAATAAGCTTAAAAGAAAAATGAGGTTTATAGCTTTATATTTTAGTATTAAAAAAATTAAACAGCTAAGTAACTTAGTTATATAAAATGCAGAAGATTTCTTTGCTTATTTTAATAAATTAATTTAATTAGTTTATGATTTTTAATAGTTTATTTTTATACCTTTGCAAGGATATAACAATTTTAGTTAGAAGCTTTTAAGGCTTAAAGAAAGCATTTCCGACCCTATAAGTCAAATATATTCTTAATCAGCATTAAAAGTATAATCGATCTAGCTATATCCGGTTTAAATTAATTTTTTTCTCTCTCAGTTTTAATGCTATCTTAATGAAACTTTGTAATTAGCCTTCTATATATTCTCACTCATATATATGTCGGAACGGGCCAGTTCGGACGACTATATCATATAGCTGTCATAGGAATGATCGGAAAATGTTTACAAAAAAAATTATAACATTTTCAGTTTCCAGCAGATTTTTAAATTTGATTGAAATTTCAAATTTTAGATATAGCCATTTTATTATACTCTACAATTCTGTGTGAAATTTTATGAAAATCGAACTACTATATCATATAGCTCCCATAGGAACGATCGAGAAATTAATACAATTAAAAATTACAACTATTTCAGTTTTAAACAGATCATCATCAAGTTTAAGGTGTAGCCATTTTATATTAGTCTTAAATTTTGTGTAAAATTTCATGAAAATCGGACGACTGTATCATATAGGTGCCAAACAAACGATCG